AACTCCTCTGCCAGGCCTTGCCCTGTTGCCAGGCCCATTAGAAGGGCTGGATTCTAATTTAGGCATTCAATATCTCTGTCTGAAATGTGCTTGTGCTTCAGAGTTGTTCTCTAGCAGCTTTGGTCTGCTGAGACTCCAAACTCCTTTTGCCGTATCCCTTGTGGTGTGCTCTTGTCTTCCTTGGGTAAACAGAAGTGCAAAGGTGTAGCCCCTTCTGCTGCGTTTCATTTTTCTTCTCTGAGTTGAGACAAGTGAAGTCAGTCCCAAGGCTGCTGAGTTGGACGGGGCACCTTAGATGCTGTGCATCATTGGTGATTCTTCGGGAAGTCTACACAAGATGCTTCTTGCGCAGCACACTGTTCGCTGTGCAGTAAAATGGCCCCGTTTACATGTAAGACACTGTTAGGTCTCGGTAAACTAATAAATACTGCTGCAGGGTAGTCCTGCTAAACACAGGACCTACCCTGGGGCGGCCTGGTTTCATATGCCAGGGTGCACATGTGGATGGTGACAGGGCCGGCTGAGGCGGGAGGATGCTTCAGCATGGGGCTGCCAACTAGCTCCACACCGAAGCACCCTCCTGCCTCGGCCAGCCCCCTCCCTGCTGCACATGGAGCCCGGTCAGAGCAGCCTTGGCTGGCAGGCTGCCCCCTGGGTCCCCTTCATGCCCAGGCTGCTCCGACTGAACTCCAGTGTGCTGCACACATTCAACTGGCACACCCACGAGCAAAATGCTCCAGAGCAATAAGTTCTGGAGTTTATTCATGTACATTGATTGTACGGGTAGATGTGCCCAGAGACAGCTTGTTGCTTCACAATTTTTTCCTGTGATCTCCTTTGGGAGGAGAAACATTCTCATATATCAGTCTTCTTTATGTGTGGCTACCCTCTAACATGTAGGATGAATGTTTCTGAGTCTAAAAGGAAGAACCAAGGCCTTTGAATTGTGTTGGATTCTCCCTAGAGCTCTGGCTTTAAGCAGCCAACTCTCCCAGAGACATCATATACCTGCAGCTGCCCAGACTGGCATTTTGGGGCTCTTTAATTTGCACTTCTTGCCACTTCCCTTCCCTGCCATCCTCTTAGGTTGCAAACAGATTACATTTATCTAATTGGGATAAACCGTTTTGTCCTGGGACAAAGTGCAAGCCTGCAGATGTCCATGTCCGCTGCCAAGGATAAATCCTAACAAAGTTTCCTTGATAAGAGGTAGTAACATTTTATCCCAGGATATTGCCAAATGCATCTGTATGGTTATCCTGGGATGTCATCATTAAAACAGTGACTGAAAAGCATCACTGCATTCAGCCACTTACTAAACCCTGATTACACGAGTGAAGTGTGTGCACATCAATCCAGGATGTTTTTATCCCAGGACAAACCCAGGCACAACTTATCCAGGGACCAATGCAACTTCTGTGCCTAGACTTACAGGTTTATTTTATCTCTGCATTTAACCCTGCCAGGCTATGCCTCACTTTCTCACCTCTGTTGCATTGTGGTTTTGAGGCACCCAGAAAGATGCCTTTGAGCAAACCCCAGCTTTCAATTACATCCTCCCACTTTAAACTGCTGTTCACATGCCGGTGACTTCAATAGCTGCATTAAGCCTTAGAAAATGGTCCCCGTAGAGCCCCCATAGCAGTGTGCATGCTCTTGACTGTACCAGATACTGTCTCACAAGGCAAATGTAGGCAGGGAATGTGCTCTACTACCAAGCCTTCCTCTGCAGCTTGCTCCAGACAAGGCTTGCTGAGCTGCTGTTTTGGCTTCACCGCTAGAGTGGCCATTGAGGTACCTCAAGAATAGAGGAGTTACATTTAGTGTATAGTGATTTTTTTTTTTAACTCAATTTAGTGCTAATCCATGAGAACCATATCTTTCACTTGGGCATTTTGAATTAAGGGTGATGTCAAACTGATGTTGAAGACAAACGTTTAATGGCAGCAAGCAACAGCTGTAACGTAAGGACGCCATTAGGAAGCATGACAAATAGAATCTTTATTGGCATTCACAGGACCAATACAAACACGGGATTAATTAAATGACAAATATATTAACCAATGAAGACAAACAATCTGAAGTTCAAAAGTGTGTTGAAAAATAGAGGACATCGAGGCATCCAGTTTCGTATCAACAGAGGACAGAGTAGCAGAAAACAGGACAATCCTCTATAAAAAAGGGCGAATGGCCACCCTATCACCACTCCTGGCACCTCTCCAGGCTGAGGGCTTCTCCCCGATATGTGGCTTTGAGCCTCTGGGAGCTGCTCCCCGCCCCCACGCTGGGTTGGCGCCAGGGGCTCTCCAGGGTTCGGTTCCCTGTCCATGCTCCCAGGAACCTGGGACGGGGGAAATAGGGGAGGAAATGGGGAACCAGGGCTCAGCCTGGGTCAGAGCCTTTCCAGTGGGTGTGCTCCCTGCTCTGAGCCTGCACCAATCCCATGCACCAGAGCTGCTTTGTCACCTGTTACCAGGCAGACCTGCTGCCAGGAGAGCCCAAGGCTGGACTTGTCTGATTTCTGCAGCTGTATCCTTGCCCTGGGGCTCCCGGCACCGGGGAGAGACGCTCCTCTGCTGGGGGCACCAGTGTCCCTTCAGCTCCAAACACCACAGAGGTGCTCCCTAGACTCCACACTGTGGTCCAGAGGTTCACAAGTGCCGGACTCTGGCAGGGGGTTTCCCCAGTGCTGGGTGCACAGGGACCCCCTTGCCCTGCTCCTCCTCCAGACCTGAACGTGCCAACGCTGCCCCCTCAAGCCCCCTGCCCCACAATAACCTAGAGAAGCACCTCACTTCTCAGCACCGGGTCACGAGCCCATGTTCAGTTACTTTCCTGTTTGAACCCACAAAACCCCAATGTCCTCCCAGGAGTGAAGATAGAAACCAAAGCCTGCTGGCGGACAGGGTCCAGTGGTGACTCACAGTGGGAATATCCCTTCCCGAAACCCCCATGGCATGCCTGAGTCCTGGACAGGCACTGGAAAATCATGGGGCCAGGCCAAGTCAGGTTCTCCTCAGCTGGATGTGGCACTGGGATGTCCCTGCAGAAGTCCTTGCTCCTCCTGTATACTGCACATGAGCGTCCCGCTGGGGGGAGCGGGGTGTCTGCGGTCCACTCCATGGAGGTTGCGAAGTAAAAAAAACACATCAACTTCCCCAAAGCCCTGGGCTGTCTGGGCCCCAGCCTTCCCCTGCAGGGCCATGCTCCCCAACAGGCCCCTCTCCTGCCCCCTCACCAGCTCCTGGTGGAAGCACAGGCTCAGCATGTGGAATGAGGGTGCTCCACTTCCCCTCTCCCATTCCTGCTCCAACCATTGGTCCAGGTGTACAACACAGGGCCAGCTAGGCCCAGAGGAAGTCCCATTCTCTATCCAGCTCCTCTCTTGGGGGCACTTGCACTGGGCACAAGGTCAGGCAGCTACAGGGATTTCAGGCTGGTGGGGACACATGCAACTCTCCCCTGGGCAAACAGCAGGGGCTGGGAGGGATCCGCTCATGGGAGAAATTCCTTGTGCTGATGAAGCGCTGGCAGGGAGAGCAGCAGCCCAGAGGAGGTGGACAAACTCCCACCAGACAGCAGGAACCATGGATGGGGTTCAGGGGAGATGGGACAGGGGGCCCTGCCTTTCACCATCAGGTTCTCCTCAGCTGGATGTGGCACTGGGATGTCCCTGCAGAAGTCCTTGCTCCTCCTGTATACTGCACATGAGCGTCCCGCTGGGGGGAGCGGGGTGTCTGCGGTCCACTCCATGGAGGTTGCGAAGTAAAAAAAACACATCAACTTCCCCAAAGCCCTGGGCTGTCTGGGCCCCAGCCTTCCCCTGCAGGGCCATGCTCCCCAACAGGCCCCTCTCCTGCCCCCTCACCAGCTCCTGGTGGAAGCACAGGCTCAGCATGTGGAATGAGGGTGCTCCACTTCCCCTCTCCCATTCCTGCTCCAACCATTGGTCCAGGTGTACAACCAGAGGAGATGGACAGAAAAACTCCCACCAGACAGCACCATATGTGCAATCTTATAGTCCTGCAAACCATGTCCCAGTACAGTTATTAATTCAAGACTGGAAGAATACACCCAAGTGAAATCTTGGCAACTGAATATCTCACTTCTGTGTAACCAGGGAAGATTTTGCACTAGAGAAAAGAACTCAAACTATTCCACTGAGCATAATATGACAACTCCCACCAGACAGCAGGTACCACAATATGACAAACCAGCAGGTACCACAATATGACAAACTCCCACCAGAAAGCAGGTACCATGGATGGGGCTCAGCGGAGATGGGACAGGGGGCCCTGCCTTTCAGCAGTTCCAGTCTGGTCCCAGTGACCAAACCCCTCCAGCCCTGCACCCCTCTTTAGTCCCTTTGTGCACAGAGTGGATGGGATTCCTCCGCGCGCACCCTTCCTGCCCACCCTCAGCACCCAGTTGCTGCCTCTGTCTGCGGGGCTGGGTGGTCACAGGAGGCTGGGCAGAGGGGCAGGGAGAGCAGATGGGTGCACAGTCTTGAAGGTTGCCTGGGACTTGCGTGTACAGGTCCTGACTTTGCCCCAGATGCCCCATGTACTGCACTGCACAACATGTACGGCTCTGGGGCTCAGCTCCCACCTGTGACGTGGGGAGAACAGCCCTGTCCAGGTACACTGGGTGTGAGGGGGAAATGCAGAGGGGAGAGGAGAAGTCAGGGTTTGGGAACCATCTGGGAGATGAGCTGCGGGAGCCCTGGGGTGGTTGAGCCCAGGAGACAGGGCTTCCCCCTGGGGTGGGTCCCTGGGAGCAAAACTGACTCCTGTGTGGATGTGGACCCTGGGCTCCCCCCTCCCCGCAGCACCACCCAGCTGCCATGGGGCCAGTGCAGGTGCTGGGGCCAAGCACCGACTCTGCTGCAGCCGGGACAAGTGTGGAGCGGAGCCCTGCTGAGCCCGGCTTTACCTGGCGACAGATGACACCGCGCAGCCCCGATGCTGATTGGTCTGCGGGGCTGGTGCTGTCCTCTCCCCGGGGCTGGGCAGCGTCCTGGGGAGCTGGTGCTCGGAGCCGGGCAGAGCAGGTCTCATTTAGGGACATCGAGGGGTGTCAGCTCCGTGTCCTGCGCAGCGATGGGGACCGGGGGGATGCCGGGGGCCGGGAGGCGCTGGGCCGGGGCTGTGCTGGTGGCACTGGCGGTGCTGGGAGCCCACGTGGCTCGTTGCACGGAGCCCCCAGGTGAGCAGGGCTCGGGGCGGGTCCGGCAGGACCTCGAGCCGCGGGCGCTCCGGGCTT